ATCTCCAGAAGAGATTCCATATGGTGATTTGCACAATACAAAAGCAAATATTAACTTTTTTTTTTTAAATCAAAGTTTCTGATTACTAAATGTAGTGCACCTATTGAGAAATGTATCTGGAATCCAAAACACCCACTACAAATAGCCTCTTCTGACTTGGGAGAACTCTAAAACCACCATTCTCATTTGCTCAATGTTATTTAACAACTGGAAGTGGTGTTAGGCCTTTATGCTGACAATTAATTATAATTGTATGAAATAAAATCATTTGTTATCAAACTTGTCAAGCAGCTACACTGGTTTCCAATAAGCAAGGAAAACCAATGTAGAGCATGAGAAATACATGAATTAGAACCTAAAACGGGCAGTAGTTGTTACTGTTTCTTGTAAATCTTTTTAATATTAAAAGATAACTTGAAAATACTTACATGCTGGATGTACATAGAAACAAATCAGACACCACAGTCAAATCCCAACAAAGTTAGGAAGAAAAGCAAGAAAAAAATCAGGTAAGTTTTCTTCAGATATAAGTACACATTATTTTAATACACATAGACAGTATTTTCATAATACTGCATATCATAAAGCCACATTACCTTAATTACATCCACCCAGTTCCATCCTCGAGGAAGCTCCCCTTTGTGATCTGCAGAACAAGAAGGTTTTATTTTCAATACACAAGCTACAGATAACCTTTATCTTTCTTTAAAATCAACACAAAATTCTAAAGAGACAGAAGTCTTAATTCCACCATTACAAAGCCATGAAGACAAAAAAAAACAACATGTTAATGTCTTGAACATATCTTGTTCTTCAAAGTCATTCTGTTTAAGTAAAAATGACCCAAGGCAGTCCACCTGATTTATAAGGCAACTCTAAAACGAGCTGGGTTAACTACCAGTGATACATTCTGAAAAAGAACAAAATTTTACAAAGATTTTCCTTCACAAAGATTTTCCTTAATAAGGTCAATATTAAAAATGCCAGTTATGCATTCACATTAGGTAAATGATACACAGAAATGACTATCATGGGGTATAATTTATTGTTGCAATAATATTATCCCAATCATTATCAACAATTAAGTTTGAACACATAAAAGTCGTCAGCAGGACTTGTTAAAATACTGAACATTTTTCTGTCAAAAATGCCATGTTTCACTGAAATCGGGAAGTGTCTACAAAAACACCTCCATTTTGAAGATACAAGCTAAAGATTTCATTTTGAGTTACAAAGCAAACAGGTTACATTTAGAAATTACTTTTTTTATAACTGTGAGTTATTTATCTGGACCCATCAACAAAATATATGCCTTTCGTTGAAAGGGAATTTTTAGATGTCCCAAAAAGTACGTTTGAGAATTTCACTTTTGTCACAAATTGAAATAAACAATAAAGTTAATCAACAACATCTTCAAGTCCCTACTGTCTAGGAAGTTGCTTCACCCAGAACAAACATCTTGGGCAAGAATAATTAATCTAAACCAAACAAAACAGAGACCACGGATTTAAAGCAGTTAATCTTACATGCAAATAAATTGTGATTCTGACTCAATGAAGATGCCACTGCTATAAAATTTGGAGTCTCATACTGCTCAAACAAAACAATACTATAGCGGACGAACCTGTTTTGTCAGCTAGCTTTCGTTTCTGGGTTTTGGATAATTGCTCCTTTTTGTCCTTTTTCTTACTTGCTGGCCCATCGGGAGTTCCAATCGCAATACTATTGCTTACAGAAGTCTGAGGAAGGACGAAAATTGTTGTTAGTGTTTTGTATGTTAGTTCATCTATCGTACTTCAGAAGCCAGTAATAATACAGAGTATTAACACAGATTGCTCTGTGTATGATTACCAAATCTGACATACTAAAATGTCTTGACTGTCAAAAAAGCAGCAATGCCATCAGCTGTCAGCAGCTTTCAATCAACACACAATCATGACAATCAGAACCATATGAAGGAGATTAATTATTTCCTTTCACAGCTGCAAGGGGCACTTCTTACACTTTGTAAATTTGATCATGGAGTTTGATCTGAATGGATTCAGATTTCCAAAATAGGAAAATTCCTTCTTCCTCAAAGCAAGTCTGCAGCACCACAATGGCAAATAATGTCCTTACACATCAGGAAGCAATATGAGAAGGGAAACATAGAAGCCTAAAATAGACTCAGCCTGACTCACTGAAGACCCTAGAGGTACATTTATGCAATCCACGACTTCCCAGGAAGCTTTCAATAATTTGCCCCCAGGCAGACACCTTTCATCTGCTCCAGCTCTCTGTAGTTTTGATTCTGTTCCATGCCTCCATTTTTATGTCACTTTGTAAGACAGAACTACAGCTCATAACATTGGCAGCAACAGCAAAATAACAATTAAGCATAATAATTATGACCACTGAGCACTGGGGCACCGTACCACACTACATGCCACGGTTTATCCCCTAACACGTTTGTACCCAATGTACTAACACCTTAAAGATAGAGCAATGAAGCATTCAGAGTTGGAATAACCATTTTTGCAGTTTTAAAAGGAAGAGATTAAAATCTAAACTTACTCACCACAGTGTTAACAGGCTGATTTTCCATGAACAGCTCTTTATTATCTTTGGCATATTCAAAAAGTGTGTAAGTCATAGCAGTTCCAAGATTAGCTTCAACTTCTACCATCAATTTATCCAATATGCTTTGTTTAATAGCTGAAGATCTGAAAGAAATCATAAAACTCAACAATGATCTAGACAGAAGAAGAAAAGCTTGTCAACCAAAAAGCCCTCACATAAAAGACTAGGGAGTGAAGCTGTCACAAGGACTTACATTGTGTTGTTGAAAAAAGCATCCATTGATAAGATTGGTGCTGTTTGCGGATATGTTTCTGGCCAAGAAACTTCTATTAGAAAGGCTTTTGGATCTCCATTTTCACCTATCTGAAAGCGAAAAAATCAGAAATCAACAGTTTCCAGTCACTCATGAAAGACTGCAATGCCAATACATAAAAGCTTCTCACTTCTCTAAGACCAACCAAATTATTTAAGGTAACAACTAACTGATAACTGTTCATAAAGCTACCAGTCAGAAAATAAAACTTTTATCCAGAAAAAGTATTAAACTTATGATTTGAACATTCATCTCTAACCTACACTGTCTATTTTAAAGTTATTTCAGTCGTATGTCTGTGCCAGCAGAATGAACTAAATTGACATTTAGCAGCACCTGCTTTAGAGGTGAAATAAATAAAACTTTAAGTCAGGCATCTGCAATATTTATCAAGACATCACCTACACTGCGCTATCCAGTTCCCAGTGGTATCAAGAAGAAAACTGGTAGTATGGTTTACAGTTCTCCCTTTCTCAGGAAAGCACTGTCTGCACACTGAGCAAATCCACGTGGAAAGCTGCATGTCCATGCTCCTCCTGTCAACGCAACCTAAAAACAGAGTAGCCTTACTTCAAATGCTGTTACTACATTTTCCCAGTGTTTGAAAAAGTCTTTCTTCAGTCTCATTTTCTTAGCACACTGATTACAAAACATCTTTGTGTGTGAGACGTGTCTGAGACAGATAAGGCTCAGAAAAATGGCATATTAATTCTTTGACCTTGTCATGCATTTACTTGCACTATGCCTTTTCATAACACAAGTTTTCTTTCACAGGAAATGTGTTATTGCCTTCATCTGACACTAAGCTTTATGGTATTTCAATTGAATTCTCCTAATTTTTGACAGATTTTTTTTAAATTACAAACAACTAAATCTATCAAAACGTAGAACAATACCCTGTAAACTTGCAGGTAGGTCACAATCACTCTTCTGAGAAAATTAGGTTTACTTAGACCAGTCCTATCAGTGAATGAACGCTGCACTTGTAAAACGGGATTCAAGTGCTATTTATTAAATCAGCCTAACTTGCTACAGTTACCAATTTCATTCTGAAGTTACTTGAGAGCTGCAAAAAGGTTACTTTAGATGCTTTCTCCCTGCTACAGTGGGGAACACAAACGCACAGCATTTTCAGGCATCTCTGTAAGGCTCCATGGCAGCACAAAGACCTGCCTCTGCCCCTGCCCAGAACAACTTCCAGGTCTTCAAATTTGAAGAAAGTTGAGTATATAATTTGATATATGACAGAAGCTGTTTTAGAATAGTGTTTCAGGGATTAGTTTATACTCATAGGGCAATTTATACGGACTTGAGTTTTGAACTCCAGGGGCACCCAGGAGTAAACATTTGATCAACAGAATACCTGATCAACACAATGCCAGGGCTTTTCCTTACAGCTCATTCTACATTTCCTCGAAATGAAGTGCAATTATTTTCAAGTGTCTATTTTGGTATCTAGCACCTTTTTTTTTAAAAGAAAACTGCCAGCAGCTGCGAGAGGGGCGGCGCAGGCAGGCTGCTGGGAGGAGGCTCCTCACCCAGGGGAAGCACTCAGGGCTCGGAGCCTGTCAGGACAGCGCTCCCACACACAGGGTCCGATTTTTGGGGCCCGGGGCTGGACTGGACGAACCTCGCGCCGCCTTACCCGGTACTGGAAGGACACGGGGCTGAGCTCCCTGAAGCAGCCGTCGCCTTCATAGATGGAGCGCAGCGCCTCCAGCTCCATCTGCGGGGCGGGCAGAGCACGGCGTTACCCACCAGCACACCCCCAAGCCCCTTCCTCCTCCTCCTCCTCCCCACACCCGCCTCAGGGTGACCGCAGGGCCGGGGGTGCCCCAGCCCTAAGATGGCGGCCGGGGGCACGCAGCCCCCCCCCCCCCATCCCCTCACCTCCTGGTCCTCGTTGGCCGCCATGGCGCGCGCCACGCGCGCTCCCCCCCCCTCCTCCTCCTCCCTCCCTCCCGCCCACCCGCCCCCGCCTCAGCCGGGCTGCCGCGCACGCGCCGCCCGCCCCCCTGACTCGAGGGGCGGGACGAGCTGGAAGGACTCTGATTGGCCCGCGGGGCAGCAGCGTGGCCGCTGATTGGCTCCTCCCGCTGCCTGTCAGAGGGAGGGCCGGCACCCTTGCCCCGGGGCGGCTCCCGCTCATCCCGGGCCGCTGCCGGCGCCGCGCCTCAGGCGGGCGGGGAGCGGGGCCTGTGAGGGGCCGAGCGGGGCCGGGTCCGCGCTGTGAGGGGCCGTGAGGGGCCGCCGCCACCCCCGCAGGATGGCCGGCAGCCAGTGGGACTTCCCGGTGGAGCTGTGCTGCCGCCCCATGGCCTTCGTGACGCTGACGGGCCTGGACGTGGTGTACAACGCCGTGCACCGCGCCGTCTGGGACGCCTTCTGCGCCAACCGCCGCGCCGACCGCGTGCCCATCTCCTTCAAGGTGCTGCCCGGCGACCACGAGTACCCCAAGTGCCGCACCAAGGTGGGACGGGGCCTGGGGCAGCCTGGGCGGGGGGCGGGGGGAGGCAGGCTGTGTGACGGGAGGGCTGCGAGCTGCTGGGGGAACTCGCTCTGACCGCCTCGGTGCTTCCAGAGGACCTCCTACGAGTGGTACATTCCCAAAGGCATCCTGAAGACCGGCTGGATGAACAAGCACCTCAACCTGGTCCCCGCGCTGGTGGTGGTGTTCTACGAGCTGGACTGGGACGAGCCGCAGTGGAAGGAGAAGCAGTCGGAGTGTGCCACTCGGGTGGAGATCGTCAGGTAGCCGTGCGCCCTTTGCTTTCTTAGCGGCTCCAAGCTGATGGGCAAATGTCAATTGCCAAAAAACATGTATCTCAGGCACAAACAAAAGGGGAACTTGAATTTTGCTTTTTAACGTACAGCTGACAGTAGAGGAGCTTTTCTGAATGCTTTATTTGGAAAAAGTCATTTAAATAAAAAACACTCAAAGCGTTGCTAAACTCAGTGCACTTCAGTCCCGTTTTAAAAAAGAGAGCGCAGGCATTCCATGGATGATACAGCATTTTGTTGTTTGGTTTATCTTCTTATACTTTCATCACTTCCATCTAGACTGAAGTGTCATTTTCTTCTGATTAAATCCTTACACCTGTGTCATGTTACTTTTATTCTAGGCAAAGTTTGCAGGGAAGAAATACAAAAGTCGCCGTGGTTTTGATACAGAAAAAAACACCGCTACCTCCAGGTACTAGAAGGCTTTGTGTGCAGTTGTGATGATCTCATTTTTCAGAAAACCTGATTGAGCTGATTATTGTTTGTCTCATTGTCTGCAGCTCTTAATACAATGTCATCTACGTATATAAAGTGCATTGTAGCTGCACAAATGGAGTGCTAAGGGCAGTTGACCCTAAACATCTGAAACTTAGCCCTAACTACTTACTTACAGGTCCAGTCCTTTTTTGACACTGTGCATCACAAATGGTACCTTAGTGTAATACCCATGATATGCCTTTTGTAAGTTATATTCTAAAACTTACTCAAGATGAAGAAAAACTGTAAAAGCAATGAGAACTTAAAGGGAAGGCTATTTGTACTTGCAAAAGCCTTTTAGCTTAATTCTATTTTAATAAATAAAAGCTTGAAGCTTAAGGAAGGACAGCTTGTAATTTTCAGGCATGCCATCTCAGTTAGCACTGGGAAGTGCATTTGTGCTTGGCGTTTTGTTGACTATTCTTTGAGTGCTGTTTTTGGGTGGAGATAAGCAGTATTTATGTCTTCAGATAAGTTTTTTTTTGATCTTCTCTTGGACTATTTGTGAAACTTGCCATTTTTTTCCTCTCTCTGAGCATGAACTTTTGTGAAGAGGTGAATTTTGTGGGGGTCACACCTTGAATGAACCTTTCTTAGGCCAACTTTTAAACATGGTGGGGAAGTCATTGTTTCTCAGATGGCTCCTACTCTGCTTTGGTTTTGAAGGAGAGCAAATGCTCTTTATAAAGGAAAGAAGAAATCTTTTAGTGGGAAGATCCAAAGTGGGAAATGTGAAGGAAAAACATGACTCGAGTGGAGCTGTGAAATATGATCTGTTTTAACCTTATGATTTTCTAGAACACTGCGTCAGCTCTAGGTGCATACTTTCTAGTGACTGGCAAACCATTTTTTTATTATTATTTTCTGCATCTTGGGTGTATATAATTTTTTTCAGAATGCTGTATTATTTTTCAAGATGGGGGGATATTTAATTCTGTGTGAAATCAGAAATTTAAAGAAAAAAGTTATGTGAACACATTGCTAGTAGGTAAACGACTCCTATTTTCTGCTATGTGTTCTGCTGGATGAAGTGTGCAGTATCCAGAAAGCAAAAGGAGCGTGGTCTCAATTTTATTTGTATTAAGTTTGTCCGTACCTTGTACTGGTCAAACTGTGTGAGTTAGCTTGATGTTGCAGCACCACATAGTGCTTACTTGTGCTTTTCTTGCCTTCGCTAGGGGAAGATGTTATTGCGTCGGAGAGGGCAGCAGCTTTATGTAACGCTTGTGACCTTTCTGGAAAATCTCTCTTTGTGCTTCCACACACGGATCATCTTGTTGGTTATATTATAAGGTAAGTGACCATAAAACACTGTTTTGCTCTGTGTGCCGATGGAGATCTCAACCTATCAAATTGCACTGTCTGGCACTCTCACTGTGGATCAACAGTGAATGTTTCATCTGTTGGCTGAAATTCTTCAGGTTATTCTGCGACCAGATGCAATCCTACATCTGCCCTTTCTATGTGAGGTTGGGTTACAATGACAGAGATGTTGATATGTGGGCTTTCGAAGACACATTGTTAGGTATCCCAAGATGTTCCCCTCCTCAAGTCAGATAAGGGCAAAGTGGGCTTTTCTACCTCTGCAGTGGTTTTGTCAGTGCTGATTCTAAATTTCTCCCTGCAAGTTTTGTTAGGTGCAACTCTGTATGAGCAAGTCTTTGCTTATTTTTTTACTTCTACTTCCTGGCTGTAGAAATATGTCTTCCTATTTCTGCTAAGTGGCATTTATCTGGAGGCAAATACTGTCCTTGTCACTTTTTTTTACATTCTTTCTGTTTTAATATGTAACAGGGAGTACAGCTTCAAATAAATTAGTAAGGCTTTTCAAGAAACAGTAGAGGGAGACTGTCTTGTGCAGATCTAAAAAGACAGGCTCAAACTAAGGTAAATCATGGCTTACTGAAACAAATTTTGATTTTTCCAAGCATACTGAATATGGGGAGAAGGGGATCATGGTCTGAGAGCCTAATTCTTCCTTGTGTTACTCTTGTATTTACATATAAACAGTAAAATTCTTAAAATAAAATCAGTGCTGTTAGTGTGTCCAAGCTGCTCATAAACAGCTACTGGAATTCATCAAAATGAACCAATTGTTAACTTCCAGTTCTTCATCTTATGCTCAGTGCTGAAGAGTGTTTACTGCACGTTAATTACTATAAGCTTTTGCAGATCGCATCTAGTTGCATTGTGCCATGAGGTTTGTGACTATCTCCAACTTCATGAAGATAAGGCTGCATCATTAGGGATTTACAGCTGTTTGTGCACATTTAAAAAAAAAAAAAGTTTGAGCATATATTCAAGTACAGAATTTCTGATATTAGTCTTGACATTTTAAATTGAGATGTCATAGTAAAATCAATTTATTTTTTAAGCACTCCTGCCCCCAGTGGACTGGCTTCTCTAGGTAGTTACAATATAGTGCTAAAATAAGTATGCTAGGGACATTGAACGTGTCACGTTTTCCTTCTCTGTCTGAGCTCATAGTTAACAACTGCTGTTCAATGCTCTGTTCCTTTGTTTTTATCCCTGTTCTCTCTGTTGCGAGGCAAATAAAACTCAAGTTGTGATCTCTCAGTCAGTCTGTAGTCATCCCTTGTTGGCCAAATCACAGAACTAGTACTTCACCCTTTATTTTGTGTCTATCTGTGCTACTGAATGCATTTCTCTCCTGTTCTCTGGCCTTTTTCTCCTCTAATTGGTTTTATAACTTGATTGTGCAGCATATATTTAGATCCTCCGCTGCCTCATGCTGCACTCAGTGCTCTGGGCCTCTTTCTTTCTCCTCCTGTGACTTGCCATTGGGCTATTTATCTTGTAAACACACATTTGACTGTCACTTCTATAACCCAGGTAGATATTATTTGGGCAATGATGAAACCTAGTCTGTGCTCTTGTAATCTTGCATCTTATTACAACTGTTTCCTTTCTACTCCTCCCTCCCCAGCCTAGTCCTGGCAAATAAGATTTTGACCTGTTCAGACTCATCCCAGGAGCCTCTGCAAGGTTTGCTTGCTTTGACTGAGACACCTCCGTTTTTTATTTCCTTGCAAAATCCTGACAGCTTATCCTTGGACTTTAAGTTAAATATTAGTTCGTACGAGAAATCAGTGCTTAATGCTCTTGAACCCACTTTGTGCTACCCCTACATCAGGCTTTGTGTGAAGAGTTTTAATCTGCTTGCTCTTACCATGTATAGTAGCTTACAGAAGACTTCAGGAATATTTCAAGCTATTTTTGCCAACCTTAAAATAAACATGATTAAAATTGACTTACTCTGAAGTTATTCAGATTCATTGTTTGAGACAAACTTGGTTAAACTTTGTTGCAGGTTGGAAAATGCATTCTATGAGCACGCACAGACGTACTATTACACAGAAATACGAAGAGTCAAATCTCACAAGGAATTTTTGAATAAAACTACTCATCAGGTAGCGTTGCTTCATTTTTGAAATACTTCGCAAGTTACAGTTCATGTTGAAACATGAAAATAAGGATTATTTGTTGCTTAAATTTATTCTATTTATATATATATATATGTGTCTTATTTTATAATCTTATTGCCATCTTGTCATAGGGTGAAAGGCTTGGAATAGATTCAGTCTGTCAAAGATCACTGCTGTGTCATGGTGTCAGAGAGAACTAGGAGAGACCAGTGGCATAGTCAGTCTGTTCTGTAAACCTCTGAAATCATCACCTGTCTCTGCTTTATAGGTCACAGGCATGTTCAGATGTTTGTGAATGATGTGTACTGATTTTGTTTTCCAGCTTTTGTTTGTTAGACACCAGTTCAAAATAGCATTCTTCAGTGAGCTGAAACAGGACACGCAGAACGCTCTCAAGTAAGACTTGTATAAACTTCCATCATCTTGACCCCAATTTATTGCTAAGCCATAGAATATTATATTTTCCTGAAAGCAAAATCATTTAAATGTGGAAGGGGTGTGTTCTTATTTGGGAAGTACACTAGTTAGAAGACAGTTTTCTGCTGTCAGTAATTCTGTTCTTAAAATTTATCTTGTATGTATTAACTCAAAATGTTTATACCTAGAAACTACAGAACTGCGTATAATCTTGTACATGAATTGAGAGCTCATGAAACAAACATGCTGGAAATCAAGACAATGGCAGGATTTATAAACTACAAGGTAACAAGCATGCTCCTTATTTTTGACAGCATATACTTAAAACAAAACAAGTAAATAAATGTATTAATTGATGCATATTTAACGTGTGAAGGTTTTAAATGTTCCGTTTTACCTTGCTTTCAAGGAAATAGATTAGTACAGCCATCAATGGGGGACAACTTAGGCGCCGTCTTGAAAAGACTTCTGAATTCCACACAAAATTCCTTAGCTGAAGTTCAGGAGTATCTTGAAGATTTAGAGTTAATTTGAGATGCAGTCATCCTGAGGGCTAAACACTTAACTTTTGCTCTGTGCAGGGGGGAATGAAAAGAAAGATTGCTTGTTCCTCAAATATTTTTGTCATAAATGTATGTCACAATAATTTAATTACTGCTTGTTTGGAGGAGGAAAGTAATTCTTTAAAAATCAGGCCATACTTCTGTGGTGTTCTGGGGGATTTCAGGTGAGACAACACTGTTGTACCATTTAAAATAATCCCAGAGTTGGACTTCATCAAATTCCATTGTCCTTCTTGAAGTGACTGCAGGCTTCAAAGTTAATGGTCTTTCTAGTGGCTCTCCAGCTCCAAACTGAAGTTGGCTGGGAGTTATGCTTGTTCATTAATTATTTGAGGGAGAGAAGAAGTAAAATAACATAAGATGAAATGAAGGACCACATGGTTTCAGGGGTAGTGCGTTAACATTTTACACCTTTTTTCTGTTTTCTATGCTATTTGAGCTTTTAAGAAGTGCGTAAAGTTAAGTGAGGGTTTTCTTTTATTTATTTATTTTTGATTAATTCTAGATCTGTCGCCTCTGTTTTCAACACAATACTCCACTGGATGCAATTGCTCAGTTCAGGAAACATATAGACTTATGCAAGAAAAAAATAGGAAGTGCAGAACTGGCTTTCGAACATGCTGCCTGGATGTCTAAACAGTATGTTTTTGCTTAGTATTGTTTCTGTTTTACCTCCCATACAGCTTTATGAAGCTCCCTATTTTCTTTGAGTAAGATAAATTTTGAGCTCTCTAAGAAAAAAATGCACTTGGTCTTAAAAGCTGCATGCTGTCATTCTGTTTTGAATTGATTATTGTTACCTTTTCCCTGGGAAAGAACAGGGTACAACAGAAATGCAGCTATTGAACTTAAATGCAAAAGTATTTTCTCTGAAGAATAATCAGAACTTTTAGCTGAAATGCCTCTTTCAGTTCATATTGCTGTTCTGTATCTAATCTTAATTACAGGAAAAAAATCTTTTTTTTTTTTTTTGGAGGTTTCAGGCTTTTGGTGACTTGTTTGATGAAGCGATTAAGCTGGGTTTGACAGCAATTCAAACTCAGAATCCAGGTTTCTATTACCAGCAAGCAGCCTACTATGCACAGGAGCGGAAACAACTAGCAAGTATGCTTTGTAACCATGATGTAAGTTGGGAGGGGAAAAAATGCTTTGCAGGTTAGCAGGTAGTGAATTAGCTGATGTTTCATTCTCAAATTGTAGTGTAAAAATCCCTAATACGTGTTTAAAAATAATTAATAAGGAAAGAGTATGTGTCTTTTGATGCTTGCTAATAATTAAATATTAAATGTAATTTCGAATACATATTAAATGCAATTACAATATAAAGTAATAATTTATATTGAAATCAAAGTAATGCTTTATATTGAAAGTAATCAAAGTAATACTTTATATTGAAAAGATAACCCTGAACAAACATTTTTTAATACAAATAATTCTGACATGTTTTTAAAATACTTAAAATAGCACACTTTCTATGCCTCTGGGTACCTGAAAACATACTGTTTTATTTTTCCATTATGTTTCTCTATACTTGCACTGTACTATTTTTATACAGGTGGCCTGAAAGGCTATAAATTTAAAGCAAATTCATTCTTTGGAGTGCATGCATATTGGAGCATCAGACCACTTAATGGTTTAAAATAAAACATAAACTCTTTTTTATGACCATATTTGCTGAATTTACAGTCGTCTGTGGTATATCCCAATCCGGATCCCCTGGAAACCCAGACCGGAGTGCTTGACTTCTATGGGCAAAGACCATGGCGGCAGGGAACATTAAGTATGTTTCTGTGTCTTGTATTTGTGGAGCTCAGACAAAAATTTTTTAGTCACAGACCCTGCCAGCTGACTTCATAGGCACAAGCGTATAATCTGTCTTCCAGAGCCAGATACAGGGCTGAGACCTTACTGTGTTGTTAGTTGGTGACAGGATTTGAACAGGTGTCAGCTGGAAGTTCAGGAAATGTGTTTGGTCCTTGTAACAAATAGAAAAAGGAATATCCAACTTACGCAGAATTGGGTCTTCAGCAAAGTGCCTGGGCCATACTGAAGCTCTGCTGCTGCTTCGTTTCTATTTCTGCCTGAGCTACCTGTGATCAATGAGCTGCAGTAGTTCTTTACTGCAGTGAATGCATTCCTGGGAAGAGAGGTTGGAGAATTGGATACAGAAAAAGTAACAGTGCCCCCTGAATGCAATTGCTATAAATTCATCCTTCCGTCCATACTTGTCAGTTACAGATGGGAACTCATGATATTTTTCTGAGAAAACTTTTCGAATTTTGAAATGGTTTGAGAGGTTTCCATGACTAGATTTTAATTTAAGAAGGGAGTTTTGTGTTTTTCCTGTTAAAGATGATGTTTTATCAGGAATTTGAACTTTGAATCCACAGCTCTGAGCTGTAGAATATATATATGGATATGCATAGAGATCTGAGATATTTGTGGATGACTGACTTTTTTTGTACTTTCTTCCCTTTCCCTCTCTCCATGTGGTCTCCCATTTTTTATTCTCTGCATATCCTTAGAGCATTGTAACTTTCTCTGTCCTCTTCTAAAGATTTCCTTTCATCTGCTGTAAATACGCGAGTTTGATCTGTTTCATCTCCAAGTGTTATGGTTTTAAAATAAGTTAGAATCTACTGCCAAGGTTGAACAGTTTAAAAAGAGGTGAAACTTTACCTGTCATGATGTTTATGACGCCATGTTCAGATGAGAGTTGATAGTCTTTTAAAGATGTATGCAGTTTGTCGTATGTTGGCGTTCTCTACTGCTAGTGAAACATAAGTTTGTGTCCTTACTCAGGATAATACAGGAAAGAGGCTACAAATTTGTCTTATGTGCTTTAAATGATAACGGATTCAGTCTAAAGATTTGGTCGACTTACTGTGTTTTGTTGTTTCTGAGTAGCTTCAGATCACTTCTTCTAAACAAAAAAGCAAAATATTTGTTCCAGAGTTTGTCTTCCAGAACAGACAGATGAGTTCTTGAAGGGTTGTATCCATCTCCTAGGAAACAGAATGTTTAAGAATTTGAATGTGCTTGAGTTGGAGCTTGTGTTACAGTGTTTCACCACAGAATTAGTTCCCTTTGGGCCTGGACAAAATTCCAATGTCATGGATTTTTCACTGTCTTATGCAGGCTTTGATCTTTCTGATCCTGAAAAGGAGAAGATGGGGATTTTGTCCCTTCAGTTGAAAGAGAAGAATGTTCTTCACTCAGTAAGTATTTTTCTACAAAAAAAACTTTTCTGACATTGCCCTAATGTTACATATATAATGACATCCTTACTGTTTTTATCTGTTAGGAGCTAATAATTACTTTGTTGAGTAATGCTGTTGCGCAGTTCAAGAAATACAAATGTCCAAGAATGAAAAGCCATCTGAGTGAGTATGGATGATGAGATGTGTCTTTAAAATTAACTTTGAAAACACTTTCAGTATTGATCTGATACATTTTTCTTGTTCGTTTTGTTAAAACAGTGGTTCAAATGGGTGAAGAATATTACTTTGCGAAGGATTACGCCAAAGCTTTGAAGTGAGTGCCATCCCTGATTGTTTCCTATGCACACTACTGTTCTCACTGAGACCACGTGTCTTGCTGATATGGAATACTGTTGGAAGCTTATCTAAGATGCTCCTAGTACCTGGATTTAATCAAAGTGCAAACTCTGGAGTGTATCAGTTCAATTTCTATTAAAGAAAGCAAAGCAGATATGATGAGTCAGTTATTAGAGTAAGAAGACTTTACAATGTAAGTCATGGTGGGAAATTACCTTATTGGGCAGATCTTTACTATTATTTATTTTTATATTGCTGATGGAGTGTTCTCTTCCCCAGAATTTATTTCTGAAACTTCCCTGTTAACTGCAGTAAGAATATAATTACATTGAATTAAAGACTTTGAAGTTAAAAACTTAAAAATTAATTCAGCTTTTTTTTTTTTTTATTTATGTTGCAAGGGAATTAGCAAAAGGAATTAATTCTGTTGATACAGTTTATGACTAATGGCTATAGAGCTGTGAAAGTTTAGCCCTGAGCTGAGGTACAGCTGCTGTCTCCTCTGAAGGAGGTGTCCCGTGTTTAGTTTTTCAACTTTGTATTTTTAAGGGGAAACAGAGTCAAGGTCATGTTAATGAAAACATTGTGCTTAAAACATGAAGTATGGAAACCTAATTAAGCAGGATGTTTTCATGATCACATGTTCTAAAGGCAGCATGTTTGAGCTGAAAGAGAGATTTACTGTTATCTGACTGGAAGCTACAAAGAGAAGAAAATAGCTTAGAATAAGCAGATCAATTCGTATCAAGCCTAATTTTTATATGAACAAGCATGAGTTTAAACAAGCACTTCTTGTTTATGTTTAGATAGACAGCAGCTTTTGCCTTTAAAAGAAAAAAAATCTTCTCTGCATTGTTACTACTAAGTGAAAATTGCTCAGTGTTAATACCACAATAACATGCCTAGGTTCGCCTGATATAGGTGGTTGCATATGTTGGCTGTAGATCTTGGAAACTCTTGAAGGGAAAAGGAGGTAGGAGATAAAGCATAAAAACCATTATTTTTCCTAAGATGCTTAAGATTCTTCACTTTGGAAGGGGGCTTTTTTTGTGGGTTTCTAGTTTTTTCGTTGAAGTGTGCAGCATACTCAACACTAAAGTGTATTTCTAATTCAATGCTGGACTAAGACTTTTCTGTCCAGTTGTTTTACTTCTCTATGTAAAGACAGGTGAGTTTCCCTGTTTCCTTGTGAAAGTTTCCTTGTGAAAGTTTCTCTAGCCTGAAATAGCAAATTAATGGAATAAATCACAGAATCACAGAATTTCTAGGTTGGAAGAGACCTCAAGATCATCGAGTCCAACCTCTAACCTAACACTAACAGTCCCCACTAAACCATATCCCTAAGCTCTACATCTAAACGTCTTTTGAAGACTTCCAGGGATGGTGACTCCACCACCTCCCTGGGCAGCCCGTTCCAGTGCCTAACAACCCTTTCAGTAAAGAAATTCTTCCTAACATCTAACCTAAAACTCCCCTGGCGTAACTTTAGCCCATTCCCCCTCGTCCTGTCACCAGGCACATGGGAGAACAGGCCAACCCCCACCTCGCTACAGCCTCCTTTAATGTACTTATACAGAGCAATAAGGTCACCCCTGAGCCTCCTCTTCTCTAGGCTGAACAAGCCCAGCTCCTTCAGCCGCTCCTCATAGGACTTGCTCTCCAGGCCCCAATGTTTCTTTACAATAATTTCTTGGTGATTCCAATATAGTGCGCATGTATACAAGCAGTCGACTTGGTTTTAATCTAGTGTTTGGTTTAGTTGAGATGAATCTGTGTTAATGATACCAAAAAAATGTGAGCTTCTTAAAATACTGGGGTGTGTAACTTGTTTTTCCTCTCAATTTTCATACTTCACAGGCTGTTGGATTATGTTATGTGTGAATATCGGAGTGAAGGATGGTGGACTCTTCTCACTTCCATATTGACGACGGCTCTCAAGTGTTCATATCTGATGGCCCAGATAAAGGATTATATTACATACTCCTTAGAGCTACTGGGTAGAGGTATTCTTTTCAGGAAATGTACTGAGTTAACCTGTGTAGAAAAAATTAAACTACATATATTTGAAAGTGTGACATCATTGTCAGACATGGTGCTTGCAGTACTTCATATGATTTGACTCCAAAAAACCCTGTATGCCTATGCTGAGTTCTCTTCTTGTATGCAGGAAGTTGAATTTTCATGCTCTCCTTCTATAATACTCATTGAATTCAAATAGACTGTGTCAGAATAGATGAGGCACAGAGCTTCATTTCAGACTGAAAGTTGCATAGTTCAAATAATATAACAATTTCTTGAGCTTTGGGGAGGGGGAGAAGAAATCTAATATAGCTAAAAGGAAAAACATTTTTCCTAGTAAGTAACTAAGCTACGACTATTTTTTTTTTTAAAGCCCTTTTCCTAGGCTTTATAATAGCAAATATGCTTAGCTCAAACTTCTTACCAGAACTCTGCTGATGAAATACGCATGTAGTAGTATCTTTTAAAGACAAAATGTGACTTAAGGTAGCTGCACATTAGTAATGCAAATACTCTGGTTTATGTAATGGTTGTTACTTGAAGTTGCAGAAATAATCCTTACGTGCCCTAATTCGCTAAATAATACCTCTTTCAGGGTAGGTGTGGTAAAAATGGTTTCTCATCTTCTGTTAGCTAGCCAGGCTATCCTGCTTTATGTTAAGGAATAGTCAATGAGACAAAACTACCTTTCATTTTCAAGAGAGAACTCCTTATTTTAATTGGTCCTTTTTTCTTTTCACCATTTTTGAGCTGCTGTTTCTAATCTTAGCCAAGTTTGCCTCTTTGCATGTTCCAGACTTTTTTTGTTCTTTCTTCTGTTTCTAAAAAGCAATAACAAGAAGCTAGGGACATCATTCTCGTAGGATTTTCCTCTGATAAATTATGAAATGCTTATCCAAACAAATATTTTACTTGGTTCCAGTGAAAGAGGGAACACTTAGGAACTTCTGAAAATTGAAGTACTTTATCATTGGCAGAGGGATGTTAAATCAGATGTTTTCTTCAGATGCTTTTTCAAAGATGCAAGCTAAAGGAAAGGTTTATTTTTAAGTTTAAAAGACATAGTAGAATGATTTGTTGCTGTGTTGTAATCCTTTTTTTTCTGTTTGCTAGCATCTACTCTTAAAGATGATCAGAAATCTCGAATAGAAAAAAATCTGATAAAAGTTCTAATGGTAAGTGAGTAAAACTCCTATTACCCTTTTAAATATTCTCCATAAGGAGTTGGTGTTTGGTATCCTATTTCTTATTTTTGTTGTTAATCTTTTATCTGGATACAGAATGAGAGCCCCGATCCTGAGCCTGATTGTGATGCTACTGCTGTGAAAGCTTCACAAAAATTGTGGGCTGACCGTGTTTCCTTAGCAGGTAGCAATGTATTTACAATAGAAGTCCAAGATTTTATACCATTTGGTAAGTAGTAAAGTCTCAAGCAATCTTACACAAAACCAAAAATTTCAGTGCATCTTTGAAATAAATTATTAGGAGAAAATATACATTATATAATGTAGAATATATTAAAGCCAGCAACACAAACGCTCATGTCAGCACAGGTCTGTTCTTCATCTAAGTTGCTAAGAAATCATGGGAGAAGCCAGTGATCTCTCATACCCAATGTGGATTACCAGAAAAGAATCATTTGAGCATTATGTCTGAGGAAAAAAACAAAAACACTTCTACTGAGACCAACTGTGCCTTTTAAAATGGTAGAAGTAGTAAATTTTTTTTTGACAAACTTCTGCTCTGGTGTGCTTTGAAATAGAACTGAGGGAAAAAAGGCAGAGCATGCAAAGGAGTCCTTCCTTTGGGAAGGGGACATGAGTGAGCATTACTTACAGAAGTGTAGTTATGTGTCCCGGTTTTTTTCTTCTGCTGAATGCCTGCCTCTCATCCTCTTTGCAAAGGTTTCAATCAAAATGCTGAAAAGTAGCTTTCTGTGACAGTGCCAGTGGCCAAATGAGTCCCACGTACTCTTTAACTTGTGTTTGTGTGTATACGCAGAACGATTCTTTTTTTATAATTCTTATTAGAGATGAATGCTTCCGGAATATAGTATTGTAATTTAACTTTCTTTTTTTTAAATTGTAGTGCAGTGCAAAGCAAAATTTCTTTCTCCAAGTTTTCATGTTGATGTTCCTGTGCAATTTGATATATACTTGAGAGCTGATTGTCCTCATCCTATCAGGTTTTCTAAGCTGTGCATCAGTTTCAATAATCAGGTAACCACATTCTATTTCTGACCTAGTGACAAGCTTATAATAAGAGTAGAATAGTATCTATTAGCCTTTCCAAACAAAAAATAATAGTTCAAAAGTTCTTTTCCAAAAACTATGTGAACAGTTCAGTTGGAAAGGTGTTCTGTTTTTTCTTTTGAATTATCTATCCCTTTTGACAACTGTATTGATATTATAATAACTTCCCAAATCCAGTTTGATTAGTCAGATCTTCACAGAAGAACAAAGATACTGTACACTGAAATGATCCTTATGCAACTTTAATGTCTTATTTCTCTGGATGCTATTGCACAAAGTTATGTTAGTGAATATAATGGATATTTTTATGAAAAAATTTCATTGTAATGTAGCTGCTAAGTCTAGCTTCATTACTGTGAAAAGCATTAAGAACCAATGTAGTTTGATCCAGTAGCACAGAGCCTTAACATTTGTTATACTAGAATTGCTCTCTACAGATGTCTCAAGTCTGAAATTACCAATGTTTTTCCCTACTCTTCCACTGTAGGATTACAACCAATACTGTGTGGTAGAAGAAGCCTATCAACAAAGTGATATTCTAGAACAGTCATCACAAGGAACAATGTGCTTAGTCCCTGGTAAAACAAGAAAGTTCACTTTCAAATTTGTTGCAAAAACTGAAGATGTAGGAAAGAAGATTGAGGTTTGTCAGTTTATTTCACTTCTTTCTTACTGACGTTTCTGAAGAACTTGAAACTACAAAGCTATCTCTAATCAGGCACCAGTTATGACAGTGTGGTTCCAGATGTTTGAACTTTTGAAACTGAATGTCAAAAACGAGCATAAAATTTCATTGAAAATAACAAAGCCCAGAATTATCACAAAAACTTGCATTACTTTGATTTTTTTAAATGTGTAATACATTTTTAAAAATGGTGTAACACTATGGAAGAGTAGAAAACTAGAAAATACTGCATTGCATGCTCTTGAGCTTGGATCCTTTTTCCAGTGCAATTTTAAATGAAACTCTGTGGTGGTGAGTTGTTGCGACTTCAGTCTGTGAAGCTGCCAGAGGGTTTTGGGTGATATACAGGCACAATAAAGATGCTTATGTTGGAAAGCTATGCTCTTACTGTGAGTGATCTGAGGACACAAGATGGGAAGTTCTCAGTATGTGTTTAAATTTTTTTCGTCAGATCACATCTGTGGATTTGGTCCTGGGAAGTGAATCTGGCCGTTGTGTGATTCTGAACTGGCGTGGAGGAGGTGGAGATGCTGCTTCCACTCAGGAAGCGTTGCAGGCCTCACGTTCCTTCAGGCGAAGACCTAAGCTTCCAGATAATGAAGTTCATTGGGATAGCTTGGCTATTCAGGCAAGCACTATGTAAGTAAAAACTTGAAAGTGTATATGATGCATTGAGTCTTAACGTTACCTGTCTTGATTCTTTGTGACTTCTGAGCTTCCAGATAGCTAGAAGTACAGAAAATCCTTGCACCGTTCTCTAAACATGCCAAATAAGCTTTAACTTTTCCCTTTGCTTAACTGTGTTAGAGTTTTCCCAGATTTTTGTGCAAGCTAGGAGGTATTAGTGTTCTTCCGTTAAAGTCATGTCTCCCTGCTCACCCCACCCCGCCCCCTCCAAGAAAATGTGTTGGAAAATAATCATTAATAAGTAGGTTAACACTATCTAGACCTATTCAAAAGAATTACATCTGATTGCTGCTGGTGGGGGCACTTTTTTCTTTACTGGCAGAAAATCTGAACTGTTAATGTTTACTGGTGGGTTTCCAATCAGTATTTTTGGAGTTGTTGCCATCATGCTGCTTTTCAAGAATGTAACCTCTCCTGGCTGAACGGCCCACCTGTTGTCAGAACTCTTTGAACAGTAAGCGAAGTCCGGTTTAAAGGAGATTTAAACTCATTAATTAAGAAACATAAAATAACTGAGTCTTTTTTCTTAAAGGATTATTTCTAGAGTGCCAAACATTTCTGTTCAGCTCCGTCATGAACCTCCTGCCCTGACTAATGAAATGTATTGTTTGATTGTGACAATCCAGTCACATGAGGAGACAGTGGCCAAAGATGTTAAGCTTACAGCAGGTTTAAAGCCAGGTATTTGGGGCTATTTTCTTTTAATCCAGCAGTATCCTAATTGACTTTGTTTTTGATGCAATGACAACTATAGTAAATGGCTGTGCTGCAGTAGTTGAGAGAAACTAAGGCTGAAGGTTGGGAATAATGGGATAGTAGCAATCGGAAGATAAATTAAGTCTCGTTTAGTTATTGTCATTTTAACCACTGTTTGTCAGTAGCATTTATGTTTACAAGTGTGAAAGAAAACTTGGAAGCTTTTGTATTCTTTCTTAACCTTTTATTTAATTTGCACATTATCTAAACTTCTCCCAAAATATATACCTACTTACTTTTCTTACTGTAAGCATCAGTCAGATCTTGATAAACATGTTCTAAGGATAATCTTACATGGGTTTTCTCCCTCTTCACCCCTATTTTTCCCACTTTAAATTTGGAGAGCAGTGGAGAACAGAGAATGTTCCTTTGAAAAGGAAACAGTGGAAACAGTTTCCTTTGAAAAGAAACACTATAACAAAGGAAACAAAAAAATATATTGTTTATGTTCTAGCTAACTGTATGTAGCTATTACTAGCAATTTTCATATGTGAAGTACAAATAGGCATGCTGACTATAATATTTGAGCAGTTACCCTAAAAGGCAAAAGTATTTTTTAAGCAACTAGCATATAGGATACAATGTTTGCCGTTCCCTCTGAAATAGAACCATGTTTCTTATACAGTTGTATAGCTATTTCAAGTCGTTCGAGTGTTCGTTAAACTTCATTTGGATGTTTGGGTTTAGCTCCTAAAGTAGTATGGAATAGTTGGTCTTGGTTTGTTTGTTTGTTTTTTGTTTTGTTTTTGTTTTTCCCTCTCCCCCTTGATCATGAATCCTAACACTTGATATACAAGGTCGTTCTGGGCTTGCTGATTTTACAGTAAAAACAATTGAAATTTGACACTTCATTTATAGCAAAGATGATACGTTTTCCATGGTTGCAACTTTTTGGCGAGATGTGACTTGTTTTCCTTTGGAAACTATTCCATGGAATTGCAGTAATGTCATTATTCTAGTCAACCCCTGACTGTAGAATAGCATCATTTAACATCTTTCCCCCCCCCTTTTTTTTTTCCCACCTGCTTTCAACACAAAGATTGGAAAATTGGAAGAACAATTTTTAAAGGATTTAAAATCATTAAGCTGTGCTTTTGAGAACATAATTAGAGAAGTGTAAAAATTGCATTTTATTTCACATAGAATACCAAGAAAAACTTGAATTGTGTAGCAATACTGTGTTTGTTTTGTTTTTTTTATGGTAGGGAATATCTAGGTAGGACTTTAGATTTTTTTTTTTTTTTGAGATTCTTGTGGCCTAAATAGATAAAGTGAAAAAACTGCAGCACGTGAACCCTACAGTTCAGAAAACTTAAGGTGCTTTTCAATCTGTTTTCTTGCTTACACTTTTGAAAGCATCTCTCAACCAAATGACAATGTCAATTCCTATTGTATAGCTTTCTGAGATGAATATTTTATTATTTTTAGTTATTGCTTACATGCTTTGGTAGTGTAAGCCTATGTGGATACAAAGACTGTCTTTAATCCCAGGGCAAGATGCCAACCTGACACAGAAAACTCAGGTGACTCTTCATGGAACAGACACGTGTGATGACTCCTTTCCTGCACTGCTTCCTGATATCCCCATAGGGGACTTGCAACCAGGGGAAAAGGTAATAGCTTACAGCCTTCTTTCTATATCACAGTCAAGAAAATGGGGATCAACTAACAAGGCTCTCAGAATAGGGCCTATATTTAGTTTCCAGTATCTGAACTGTTAAATTAAATGCTTGGTGTATAGTTTGCCTAATGTTTACTTGAAGTTTAGCATTCCTTCAGCTAGATTCCCTTTTTGGCCAAGGGAATAGGACACGTTCTGGTATTGATGATACAGCTGAGAGAAGGCACAAAATAAGGAGGCTGTGCTACTCTGATTAAAATCACGTGCTATTTGGTTAAGATCATGCAGTTCAGGAGATTGTTTATGGTCAAAATAATATCCATTCTACTATTGCTTTCTTGGTCCAAGTAGGATGATTATCTAAAAGATTTTGGCCACTCCTAGACCTCATTAATATATTCTAGGTGTATCTTGATACATATCGTTTCCTTTATCTTGCAGATAGAAAAACCAATATACATTCGTTGTGGAACTGTTGGCGCAAGGATGTTTCTGGTCTATGTTTCTTACTTAATCAACACTACTGTTGAGGGGAAAGAAATTCTCTGCAAGTGCCACCGGGTAAGATAATGAGATGCACCAATTGCTGGAGGTGCAGCCTTTAGATTGAAAATATTTCTTGCGTTTCATTAATGTAATTCTAAGTCTCTTAAAAGCATTTCTAGTAGGTAGAAAAAAAATGCAAAATCAGCAGTATAGTAGTCTAATTTAAGGAGAGCAGCTTCATAAGTATAATTGGAAGAAAGTTTTTCAATATTTATTCTTAAAAAAAAAAAAATAACCACAGATATATTCTGCCCTTGGAAGAATTAAAATGATGACTAAAAGTAATGTTATGTTAGCAACCTTTGACATCAGTAGCCAGGTCTGAAACTGAATATAATTTTATCCTCTTTTCCACCCACCCCTTTCATTACCTATACAGGATGAAACTGTAACTATAGAAACAGTGTTTCCTTTTGATGTTGCTGTGAAATTTGTCTCCACAAAGGTATGTGTTATGAAAAGTTACTTTCAATAATCTTACCCTGCTTAGTTAGAAATAGTCAGATTTTTGTCTCTGTCTCGACAGCTGGAGCACTTGGACAGAGTCTTCGTAGATATACCGTTTTTACTGATGACAGACATCCTGAGTGCCTCTCCTTGGCCCCTCACTATTGTAACCAGCCAGCTACAGCTGTCAGCTTCCATGACTCCAGTAGATCAGCTGGAATCTTACGTGGAGAACGGTGAGTTTTCTTACATTATGCTTTCTATTATGAGGATACTTTTTGTGTAGTTTGGGAGTAAAAGCAGTTGACATTTTAAATGGTATTTACTCATCAAACTGTAGAAGCAAGCTGCTTAACGCCTTATTTGCTTGCCAGAACAGAGTTTAGAACAACAGGCTACAAACATAGTTTTGCGTCGCTAGATCAAACAAATAGACTTGACTGATATAGGTGGTAACCAAAATGCTAAATGTAACAGATGTAAGGGAAAGCAGCTGAGAGTACTTCTGGTCTTTAGCTTCTTAGGTATCCGTGTGAAAAGTTACTCAATATTTCCAGTATTTATGAACTATGTACATTTTTGTGGGTTGCAAACAAGTTATCACTTTACAGAAGGAACATCCAAAGGCTAAAGTGGTCTGTGTCCATGACTGTACATTCATGAAACTGGAAGATGTGAAGTTAGACAGAGTAGGCTAAAAAGAGCAATTAAAAGCAAACGAGTTTCTTAAAACATTAACACAGCTTAATAGGTTATTACTTATGTAAAATATATGTATATCTTACAAGTTTCAAACTTTGAGTTCAGTTTGTCAACTCTGAAGTCAAATGGAGTACTTCACAGTAGATCTGATTCAAAACCTTTCAACAAAATGTTGTCTTTGCATTTGCCGAGTTAAGAGACAGAAAGCAAGTGTTCTGTTCAAACTTGGAATATAAAGAAGGCAGCCTGGATGCTTCCCTGACTGTGGGGCAGCTGCCCACCGATGTGTTCAAGGGCTTGCAAGCCTATAGTTCTAGAAAGCAATGATTTCCCAGGTTCTTTAGTCAAAGTACGAGAGTTCTTTTTAGCTCTGGCACCTTGTGCTCCTTGACTTCCAGTTACTATTTCTAAAGAGCTAACAGCCAGGAGATATAAACCACTTCAAATATAAGCTATTCAGCTGCCTGTTCTATTTGTCATTTTTTTCCTTGTAAGACTTAGAGATACTTTAATTTTGAATGACTGAGCAATATTTTTCTTAGTGCTGTTGTCTTCAAAAATCCCTCTTTAATCAAAAAAGTACTAGCTTTTTTAAAAACCTGAAATAACTTTAAATAAAAAGTGAGAATTCAAAGATGGTAGATCTTTCTTGTGTTCCCCCTCTTCCCCATCTCTCATCCACTTGGGTGGGAAAGGAGGAATGTCCATGGTGGTGGCTTTAATTTTTATTTTATTTTAACTTTAAAACATGCTGATGTCTTGGAATCTTCTGTGGAAAAGAAGTATAGAACTTGATTTGGTGTTATTTAGCCTTTTTTTTTTTTTTTTTTGCATACAAACTCTATAGAACAAGCCATTGCAAATTTATTGACACGAAAGATCCTGACAGTGCTGTTCAGAAAGTAAGCTGTACTTTCAAGTACTGGGATATTGCACAGTCTGTATTGAATTCTTGTACTATGTAGAAATAGTTTGCAAAGTACTTCAACGCCTTTCTGTTGGAACAATTGTGTCTGTGTAATATTGGCTTTTTAGACTTGGTGGCTTCTGCAGTAATGATTATGCTTTGATTTTAAACAAAATTTTGCTGATAGTTGTTTTACAGACAGGTGAGAGTGCCAGTGAGTGCTTTTGCCTTCGATGTCCTCCAGTCACTAATGCTAGTGGAGTGGCAACTGGATGTTACGTCATTTCATGGAAGAGGTAGGCAGCTCTTGGCCTGAAGAGGGAGAGGAAATAAGCTGGTTTGTTTTTGGGCTGATGGTTATTTTTTGACTTCTTTGGTGTTGGGTTTTCCAGTAACAGGGACTGTCTAGACTTTGGATCTTAGTAATTATTTGGTTAGACTTTTGAACAAATACTTATTTTACTTAGTAAGTGTTATGTGGCTATGGTCTTAACATTCCATGAAGCTTCATTTTTTTTGTAATATCTTCAGTCAATTTCAAAGCTGTTCTTTTAACTACTTCTGTTTCCTCCAACCATGAAACATTTCATTTGAAGCCAAGTCAAAGGAATAGTTTGGGATAGCAAAAACAAACAAACAAACAAAAATGGGGAAAACCAAATGGTTTTATCACCCTAGACTATGGGTTTATGTATTCACTCAGTTTTTAAAAATACATGCTCAGGTATATCTGTCTTTGTTTAATTATTTTTATTTTGACGTAGAACTGTCCAGTGTTCTTATGTGCCTATTGCTAGTTTATCTCCATGCTATGACACTTTTTGTGCTCACTTCGAACAAAAAACATAATGGAATTTTTTCCCACCATTGAAATGACTGTAATCTTATTTTAGTCACGTATAAGTGATGTTCTTCTGGCATGCTCACTTGGTGCTGTGCAGCTCTCAATGTGTTGTGTGTTTGTGATATTTTTCTGCAGAAGCTCACCTGTGGAAAGCGTGCCTGTTGTTAGTACAGTCATCACTCTGCCTCATGTGGTTGTAGAGACCATTCCCCTCCATGTTAACACAGGTAATGTTAGTTTGGCAATGCGTATGTGCTGCCTAGAATTTTTAAATCTTCCAAAGTAAATAGCTGATAAGTTTTATAGCATCTGGAGCTTACATTTACTGTCGCAAGAGACAGGAAATTAGTGCTGAATGTTATGGAGGTAGTGAAAGAAACTGCATTATCACTTAAACTGCCTTGCCCCTCTTCCCACTCCCCTGATCTAGAAAGAATTGGAAGGTAGGTACGTGAATGTGTTCTTAAGAGCAACAGTTGTGTTACGCAGCAGCGTGGAGTCCACAGTTACCTCTACTGACACAGCCTTCCCAGTAGGTTTCTCTAGATGCCTATGGCAAGAATTGTTCCATCCACCCACGCTCTGGCCACATCCCAGGAAAGAAACAGCCTGGAGATCTGGAGCTGCTTGCGGGCAGGTGAACTGTTTCTCTCCTAGCACTTCACCTGCACGAGACCAGAGTAGGAGTGCGGAGCACACTGTGAACACACAATTCCTATGCTTTCTTCAGTTTGTTTTCACTTGTACTGAGATTCTTCCATCATCCTTTCCTGTTATATTTTGGAGGAGCTTCCTCACAATATCTGAAGATGCTGGCAAGCTGAAAATACCCAGCAACAAAGTGATTTCTTAGTTAGCTTTCTGCATACTGTGAACAGTCAAGGGGTTTTGTAACTAGGTATTGAATGAGTGAAAAACTGGAGAGGGAGGGAAAACAACTGTAAAACTTTAATGAAGTTATGTTCTGTTGCTTAGTCTTTTTTAATCTAATCAGAAATATGTTAAATACCTAGTTGTTTTTTCTTGAAACTTTTTAGTGCTCTTTGTTGGACTTGGGTTTTATTTATGGAACTTTAAAACACAATTTATTTGAGGTGGCTTACTTTGTTTCCAAAGATCTACCCTCATTTGGTCGAGTCCGAGAATCCCTCCCTGTCAGATATCACCTGCAAAATAAGACGAATTTAGTCCAAGATGTGGAGGTGTCAGTGGAACCAAGTGATGCCTTCATGTTCTCCGGCCTTAAACAGGTACTTAAATGTCACATTTTCTAATCCTGGCTTCTCTGGTAGGGAAGAATGTGTTGATTAGACTTGCAGTGATGACAAGCTCACTGCTTGCAAATGTGTGGTAAATTCTGTCTGGAAGGACACGTACATGCAGATTCCTTTTAAAGAAGGGTCAGATGAAAGCCTGCCTAGGAGCTGTGTGTCATGTTGTTTGTAGGTAACACGATCTTTCAGTATAAATTAATAGTTTTAACCAGTAGAGAAAATGTAGTTGCATTATTTCCAACTTCTGAAAGTAGGAAGAATATAAATAGAAAGTAAATAGGAATCTGCAGTTGGTCACAGAACTTGTCTGTGACTGTGGCTTTTTTTTTTTTACTTTCCTTTCTAAGATCCGATTAAGAATCCTTCCAGGCACACAGCAGGAGGTGTTATACAACTTCTATCCTCTGATGGCTGGGTATCAACAGTTACCATCTCTTCATGTTAACCTGCTGCGATTCCCAAACTTCACTAATCAGCTGCTCAGAAGATTCATACCTACACACATTTTTGTAAAGGTAAGACTGAGAAGTGTCTTGTGTTTAACGGCTGAAGTCATAGGGGTTGAGTAACATCTCTTGAGTTTAGGTTCAGAAACACTGTAATATCCCACAACTCCCTAAATAACTTCTAAAAACATGTTCTCTGCAAATCACTCTGTCTAGATTTTTTTAAGGAGTGTGGATCTGAAGACAGTTCAATCATATCACAATAAATAGATCTTGTGCCTTTTTAATTTTTTTATAATAATTTAAATCCAGTTGCCCAAAACAGTGCTTTATTGTTCTACTGCTTCTGTCTCCAGAATATTGTATTCGCCTCTTAGTCAGACTCTGAGCAAGCAAGGAAGCTGAAGAGTTTGTTTATATGACTTGAATTGGACTTGTTCAGACGTATGTGATCCTGCTTCCAGGACACAGGCCTGGCATTCTTCCAGTTTTATTTCAGCCCGAAGAGATGGGCAGAACTTAGTTTTTATGTCTGCTGTCAATCAGTGGCTCTTCTAGTTTGGTTGTCAAGATGTCCTCATAAGTCAATACAAAAGGCTTTTTTCCTCAAAAGCATAGTGTTCTCAGTGCTTCTGTTGAACCTCTCAGGATTCAGAATACTTTGCTTTTTTGCCTTAAAATTTTCAGGACCTCAAAGAACCTTTCTGTAAGGAGGATGTTTTTTCTTTAAAACTTCTTCCTTGCTCTCTCCCATCTCTAGCGATTCTGTTCAAAATTCTTAGAAGCAGCTTTCAGTCCCATTCCTGTTTTGTGCATTGTTTAACAACTTTTTTATACTGCAATAACACTCAGAACTCTGATCAGCCAGGCCTTGTGCTGAGTTGCTCAAATGTGTATGGAGATGCTGTTGATATTTAACAGGACATCTATAAGGAGCTGAGCCCTTTACTAGGTACTCACTAGGCCAAACTCATTTCAGTTGGGTATCCTTCCAGTTTGTACCACTACTACTGGAAACCATTAGAAGTAAAGATTGGAGTCCCTTGATGTATTGAAAAGTGAGTTTCATGACAGCCTTAGTCTTTTGCATAGTGTAAAAGTCTCTATCTTTATTTTCTTAAAGCCTCAGGGTCGTCAAGCAGATGACAACTCAATTGCAGCTGCGTAACTTCGAGACTCGTACCTCTGCACTTAAAGGAAAGGAGAAGCTGCACAGAATATGTAAAACTTGCTTTGGAAACATGGCTTTGATCAAACCATAAGAATTTTATTTTTAAATTACACCTCTTAACAGAACTAATGTTTAAAAAAACCTAGTCTTTCATAGACTGTCTTTAAGGAAGAAACATAGAGAAAACTTGGTGCTTTATTTAACAGTAACGTTCTTTTGAAGTTAACTGTACGTCAAACTCTTAAAGGTATTATTTTATAAGCATATTAAATGTCTTGAATGTTTAAGTGGAGAAATGCAGATTTACTTGACCAAAACCAAAATACATTTTCTTAATTAACAGTAAGCTAAGTGCTAAGTTTGCACTTTTTACTGAGATTTACAACACTGAAAATGATTATTCTTTACAGAAATGTGTTCTGTGCCACTTCTGTTGAGGATAGAACACAGGTTATGCAGTAGCATAGCAAACTTCAAATGATTAACTCGTACTGTTGGAATCAAGTGGCTTACTGGTCATTTAAAACCATAAATCTAAAAGGCGCTGTTTCTTCTGGGCAAGCCATACATCTGAATTTGAACTCAGCAACAGCTAGTCTAATGAACAGAGATTCGTTCATAACAGGTGGACTATCCAACCTCGACTTGATGTGGCTTTGGATTATTTTTACCCACACAGCTTCCAGATTAAAGACGTGTTTTGATAGTCTCCTGGTGCGTGAATTTAAAAAAAAATAAAAATAAAAATCCTACTGTTGTACAGCTGCAGATGAACTGGTGTTTAAAATAGAGTAAATCATGTATATATTTAAAAATAAACAGAAAACTTCAGTTGTTTAACTTTCAGAATAATTACATTTTGATTGCTTGGAAAATACCTTATTTATTGTCAAAGTGAAGTTCTAATAAACAGCTTGTTACAGAGTACTTCTGAAACAGTGTCCTTTGTTTTCACAGCTGTTGTCATAACTTTGAACTGTCTTGTGCGCCGACATACCTTTATGGCACTGAAGTCTAAAATAACAGCTCTGATACTCAGACAAAAGCATTGGAGAAGCGTGGACACAGGGCACACAGTGAAAGGACTGCAGGCTCACGGGCAGTCCTGAGAAAATATGCATGAGCATAAATAGCTTTTCTGTAGAGTACAGGCGGAGCTGTATTATGAGGTGGTTAAGCGTTAGTGTAGAGAAGGAAAAGAAGACGACTGACAAACTATGGTAGGAAGAACATGCAAAACCTTCCTTAGTCTTTGCTGAGGTGGCAGTCTTGGAATAAGTATCTTATCTCTATTTAAAATACAAGAATGGAAAAAGTATTTCATTTCCAGAAGTGTTTTTTTGGTTTCAGGTAACCAATTAGGTGCTAGAGTTGCTGCAATCTTTGCTGCTGCTTCACAGAAGACATGTTGATGCAAGTGATGGAAGTGCACAGTGGAGAACTTAGTGGAGAACTAGGGTGCCTTCTTTCCCCCCTCCTGAAACAGCCTACCAGCAAAATGGTAATGTGCATTCCTTCGAGAAAGGGGAGGGCTTAAATGCTTTCATGGTTACAGTGATACTGAAGTCTTGAGTGAATGGCATAAATAGATTTTTATTTTAAATCATGAGTAGTAAAAATAGGAGCTGTATAAAAATAACACAGAAATGCAAACTTATCTTACCCCATGGAGGAAAAACTAATACTCTGCTATAATTGTAATTCCTATTCTTTTTCCATCTGCGAAGATAATCTTCTTGGTTTTTGTTGTGATCTTACTGTGGCTGTGAACACTACAAAGCAAAGACTTTTCTTAGTTGTCTGTAAAGTACTAGGCACGCCTTTTATGCTATGTAAATGACTGATGTGAATGAAAACATGCAGTAAGCAGGAACCACCTTGCTAAAAATGCTTGAGAAGTGATTAATGATGACTATCTTACTGACTCATAGGACTAATGCTGAGGGGGAATGTTTGCGATTCGTAACACAAATCCCTTTGGAAGTCTTGAGGAGATGAAAAGGGTGCATTTACTTAAGTATAAGTGCAGTTTTTCATTGCTTACTGTATTTTGATGAGCACTATTTAAACTTAAAGGTATACTACTTAAATGTAGTCTATTTTAATTGGAACTAATTAAGCATCAAAGAAAAGAGAAGCTACTTATAGAACGGTTTAAAAATAACTTACAGGGGAAAAAAAAGAAACTGAGATCAACATGTTCAGACTGCTTCTGAACTGGAAACTTAGCACTAGCAACATTATTTCCTCCCCTGGTATGCTACCAAGTGCAGGAGAGGGGAAGAAAATGTCCCATCACCTCAGATCCGGCCTACAGTGAAGTCTGGAGCCAAGAAAGGAGCTCTGGCCTTTCTTCATTGACTAGCTAAGCTCTAGTTACGTGAACTTCAGGAAAAGTAAAGAATTAAAAGGCTCTAATCCCCTATAAACTTTTATGACCTTGCACTGTGTCTTCTCAGATCTTCGATTTATGGAGAGGTTTTGGAGATCTACCAGCTTCGTTGTTGTATGTCATAATGAACAAAATGTCTTCATGCTTTCTTGGCCTTTTTCTGAGAGATTGGGATTTTCTAGGTAAAAATACTGCTATGACTCCTTCAGGTTTGAGGTTGCCACATGTACAGTAGGAAGAAAAAACCTGTCAAAAGACAAAGCATGGATTTTTTTCAGGTACCTGAACTACAGGTACTACACTGGTTTATAAAAGACTTCATTTATAACGCTGCTTACCACACAAAGAACATGGTTAGAGTAGAAAAGTTGAGTTGGAAGGGACCTACAACAATCATCATGTCAAATGCCCGGCCACTTCAGGGCTAACCCAAGGGTAAAGCATTTTACTCAGGTTGTTTGATAGCTGTGCAGTGCTGCTGAAAATGAGTTTTGTGGTCAATAAAAATTAAGATGTATCCTAACTAGCCACTATGATTAAAGAAGGTTCAAAAAGAAGTTTACAAAATAACTTTAGAAAATTGGTTTGTTGGAGCTCTCCCTGGTGATGGGGAGAAGTGGAAGCATAGTTTTGACTACTTTGAGGCTTCTGCTAAAGTAAACAGTAAGAATTTTAGTTGTTTTTTAAGTGGGGGATAAGGAACAAACCTGGTGGAAGTAACAAATCCAATTCATTTTAAATTAAGAGTTAGTATGGTAGGCTACATTTATGTGCACTTACAAAAAGCACAGAGGTGACTTCAGCTAATACAGATGTGGACTGGTCCTGAGATACACAAAGTGGTTAAACCTCATCCCCACTGTTCTGCTCTGCTTCTCAGACGTCTCAGACAGGAGGTCTCTCTGCACCAGCAACCATGCTATTCATGTGGAATTTGATGACCCTTCTCTTTGCTCGTAAGCAGGAGCAAGGTTCCTGAGTTCCCGGGAAGGTTGCATTTTGCTGAGGCTGTGAGCTCTCAAGCTCTGCATTCCTGCTGTTCCTCACAATCTGCTTTACTGGGTTGTTTGCAGGAAATGCAGCCTGTTTGTCTGAGCAAAAAGAGGAACTACACAAGGTCCTCTAACTTCTGTGGGAGCTACTTCCTCCTTATAGCTGATGAATCTCTAGTTATCTCTACCTGTGTCCTGGAAGTACTCAACACACTGTTTTTTATTGCTTTAAACTCTTAAAGGGTCAGAAGACAAAGCAGTTTTAGTTCTTGGCTCAGAAGACTGGGAGCTTTTGTTCTCTTCAAACCTCATTTTTTGTAGCATCTCCATAGCTCTTCCCAAACCTTAATTTTGTGCACTTCAGCCTGGATGCTGAATGGCTGTTATTTGGCTTAGTGTACTTCTGGGGAGCAGCTCGCAGGAAGAGGATGGTTACCTTTAACATTTAACCACAGCTTCTTCAAGGTGTGGTATTTATGTGCATGTTCACATGGACGCTTAATAGATACTTGTACTTTCTCCTACATTTCAAGGTTCCCCTGGGAAAAAAACAAGGAATTCTGACTCTGCCATGGATAGGTGGAAAGTAGACAAATTGTCTAAGAGCTCTGCTCATTTATTATCTGGTTTCTGAATCCCCTCATCCTTTGCACCCCAAAGTGTGTGCTGTAGAGCTTAGAAAGCCTCCCATGTTAGTGTGTGTGTCTTTGGTCATATATCTGGAAGTTCCTCAGGTGAGGAGTAAGGAGCCTTCCTCACCTTTCACTGCAGAGGGCTTTGTCTTTTAGTCAGTGAAAATTCACTAAATGCAAGATCACACTGCAGGATGTGAAATAGGTAGACTTGAGCATGATAAGCTGGATGAGAAGAATGGGCTAGATTGTTGCCCTTTTTCTTTGCAAGCCTTAAGGAAGCGTACTGTCCTGAAGCAGTTTTAATTTTGGAGGAGAGGAGAAAAGATCTGCAAATACAAATGGGGATGGATCGGGATATAGGAAAGCAGAACGGTTTTCCAGTGTTGCCGTTTCTTCTTATTTCCAAAGAGATAGCAAGTGTCGGATAATTAAAACCAGACATTCATGTATTTAAATACAATTTTAAAATGCCCAAAGGATTTGTTCAAGACAGTATGAATTCCCTCACCTGAACAGAATGTAAATGTTATTCTAATTTTTTAAAGAAAATTATGTCAGGTTTCCATGCCAAATCTCCAGATTTGCTAGAGAACATGATACTGTGCGAAGGCGATCAAGTTTATATAGCAATGCTCATAGGATGTGTTGTATCAATGCAAAACTATGTTAACTATGCGAGCTGCTTACCATAGTCTGAACTTGCCAGTGGGATGAGGAAATATGGGAGTCAAAAAATTTCTCCCTAGAAAGTAAGTGAAAACACGTAGCTGGCATTCTTTTTCCCGTGTTTAGGAGTTGCTGAAAAGTATCTGATTCCATCGGGACGTTCAAACCTGACCTTCGAGCTGAGATTTCAATTATTCTTTCCAGAAGTTCAGCTGTTCATCACCCAACAGTCTTCCTGTTCCAGAGTATGCACATGCTTTCTGTCTGTAAACCATTTTGCACGTAAATGTTTGGCATTTCTATGTTATCTGCACTCTTTAGCAATTACTGTGTGTTTTTCAAACATCTTAAAGTAGCTAAAGGAAAAACTTGAGCTTCTTTTACAAGAATATTTGTTCTTCCCTATGCAAATAAAATTTTGGCCACCTCCTTTTTAAATTATTCATTTCCCAAACTATTTTAATAAGTTATTGTATGTAATGCATTGAACCCAGATGGTTCTCTTTATGCAGCTTTTATTTGTGTGTGTGTGTGTACACACACCTATGTACATCAGTGAAATAAATACCCAAATGAGGACTGACACACACACACACACACACACCGTATTTGAATTTCCTGACCTGCACAGGAAATGTGCCATTAATGTGCAGCACTCAATGAACTTAGCTGGATTTCTCTTCACCGTTTAGATTTCGTGATGCCGTCTTAGAAATCTCGCCATCGGTTTCGGAGTTGTCCAAGCAGTGGTAGCTGTATTGCAGTGCGATAAAAGGGGGCTTAAATTCTCTCTGTAGCCTACAGAACTAGGCACAATAAGGGAGGAGAGGAAAGGCAAAGCCCTGCGGTTGGTATGCACTGCAGGGATGCTCCTGAAGCATAAAGCACTCTGGTGTCCTGGTTGCTCTTGTTTGCTGCTGACAGCCCTACCCCAAGGGCGCAGTGAGGTAAACGTGCTGGCAGCTGCTGCGGGCAGCTCCTTGCGAAGCATCAACCAGAGGGTATTAAAAATGTCTGCTTCACCCCTAAAAGCAAAGGAAAGGCCTGGAGCTGCATGCATGCACGTGTGTACATGCGTGTATATTACATACCTCCTCTGTTCTGTGATCGGTGTCGGGTGATCGCGGTGTGCCTCAGCCTGTCCTGGAAGCCCGTCTGGTACCCAAACCTGATCTGTAACGGGCTGTGAGGGCTGTGCTCCTCGGGGTACTGCACGGGTGACAGGACAGGCAGCTGCAGCGA